CCACACACACACACACACAGAACCTCAACAAAGCGGGTCTTCCTGTAGCTTGTTGTTTGCTAGCCCTGGGCAGATGGAGGGAGGGGCCCTTTCTCCTCCCTTCCCAGCCCCTGACTCGTGTCTTTGCCGTGGGCAGCTGTGCTATGACTATAAGTTTGACTTCGAAGACGACCAGCACAAGATCCCCTGTCACTGTGGAGCTGTGAACTGCCGGAAGTGGATGAACTGAATGCATTCCTTGCGCTTGTCCCTAGGAAGAAGCGATTCAACACACCGTTTGGATTTGGCACCAGAGAGATATTTTTATTTTCTGTTTATGACTGAAATCTAGCTTCTGGGAGTCTGATTTCCTCAGCCCTTCCCAGGGAAGGCGGACTGGGCAACGCTCCTCCAGTGGCTGAGGTTACAGAATTACAGATGGTCCAGCACTTTTTTCTTTTTCTTTCCTTCTTTTTTCTTCTTGTGGGTGGGTGTTGTTTGTTTTGTTGTTTTAGTCTCACTAAGGAGAAACTTTTACTGGGGCACAGAGCCGATGGCTGCCCTGCCCCAGGGCAAGGGCCTTCCTATGAATGTAAGACTGAAATCACCAGCGAAGGGACACGTCCAAAGTGCTGGCCACGGCCTTATTGAAAAAGGGGCAGGCCCTCTAATTTAAAGTTTTTTAAATAAAGTAGACACCACTGAACAAGGAATGTACTGAAATGACTTCCTTAGGGATAGAGCTAAGGGATAATAACTTGCACTAAAATACATTTAAATACTTGATTCCATGAGTCAGTTTATTGTAGTTTTTGATTTCTGTAAAATAAGAGAAACTTTTTGTATTTATTATTGAATAAGTGAATGAAGCTATTTTTAAATAAAAGTTAGAAGCCAAGCTGCTGCTGTTACCTGCAGAACTAACAGACCCTGTTACTTTGTACAAATATGTAAATATTTTGAGAAAAAAATACAGTATAAAAATAGTTATTGACCAAATGCTACCAGGCTCTGCAGCAGCTCGGGTGCTTATAAAATGTTCATAGGGATGTTACAATATAATTTTGTGTTATAAATATGCCATTATAATTATGTAATAACCAAAATTTCAACCTAGAGTGTTTGGAGTTTTTTGGAAACCACGGTCAGTTAGTACTTAATGTTTTATACACCTTCTGATAGAACAGAGTGTATGCCATGACTACAACTTTTATAGCTGTTTTGGTAATTTAAACTAAATTTTTCATATTATATTGTTGCATCCCTACTTCTTCAGTCAGGTTTTTTTGTGCTTACAATTTGTGATAACTGTGAATAACTGCTTAAAAAGACACCCACATAGAGGCTGACTTTTCTTCAGCAAAAGTAGTTTTGATTAGAACTCTGTTTCAAGCCACAAAGAATCATTTAAACGTACTAGGATCATGTAGCAGGAACTCTGATCTAACTCTAGCCTTCTATTTAACACAAAAATTTGAAAAAGGAAAAAAAAAGGAGATGTGATCATGGGCGGCAGGACTCCGGCAAAGGGTTTGGAAGATGTGATTTTAAATGTGTTTGTATGATCTGTTTGTTTACATTTCTTTAATAAAAACACTGTTTTGTGTTTGCTCGTAGGAATTTAATCAGCATTTTGAACCGGGTTAGCTTTTTATTTTGTACTTAAAATTCTGGTACTGACACTTCACAGGCTGAGCATAAAATGAAGTTTTGTGTGCACAATTCCCGTGGACTGTAAGCTGTTGGTATATTCAGTGATGCAGTTCTGAACTTGTAATGTATATGGCATGATGTATTTTTATCTTACAGAATAAATCAATTGTATATATTTTTCTCTTGATAAATAGCTGTATGAAATTTGTTTCTTGAATATTTTTCTTCTCTTGTACAATATTCTGACATCCTACCAGTATTTGTCCTACCGGTTTTGTTTTGTTTTTGGTTCTGTATAATAGTATCTAATGTTGGAAAAATTGGATTTTTTGAAGTATACAGAGTGTTATGGGTTTTGGAATTTGTGGACACAGATTTAGAAGATCACCATTTACAAATAAAATATTTTACATCTCTAAAAGCCACCTGAGTCTGTTAACTCCTCGCCTGTTCTGGTTTGAGTTCTGAAATTGATGCTTGCTTGAAATTCACTGATGGTCTGATCCACATGTCAGAATTACCGCCATGCTCACATAATCAACTGAGTTCTCAAAGTTTAGACACAAGTTCTTAACTCATTGCAAATAGAGACTTTCTTGCAGTTGAATAAAGGGAACTTCAGTTTCGCTTTAGTTTACCTAGGCCTAATTAAAAATATTCATGGTGCCTTACTTCCTGGTATGAAGTCCTTTTTTCCTAAGATTTTTAATTGACTTAGAAGGGAGAGAGAGAAACATCGATGTGAGAAACATGGATCAGCTGCCTCCTGCATGCCGCACACTGGGGACAGCCTGCAACTCCAGCATGTGCCCTGACCAGGAATCAAACCGCAACCTTGAGATCGGCAGGCCAACACTCCAACCACTGAGCCAAACTGGTCAGAGCTAGTCTATTTTTGTTTAACTGTTCAATTGCTCTCCTAGATTTATTCTATGTGGTAGATGCTTTATTTCTATAATACTGAATGTATTTAACGTTTAAGGAGGTTACTAAGAATTGCTCAAAATCCCCCAAAGGATTTTTTTTTTTACTTAGTAGAGAGGTTTATCACAATTTGTGAAGAAACCTGAAGCCTTTTATGTATTTTTCCTACCTCAAGTAAAATTCTATGCAATGTGAAATGTTTTACATTTTACATTTTCATATAGTTGATATCTGCAGTATTAGTTTCACATGCATAGCATAGTGTTCATACATTACAATGATCATCCTGATATGTCTAGTTCCAGTCAGACCATTCATAGTTATTGTAACATTAATGACTATTTTTGCTATGCTGTAATTTGTATTCCCGTGACTTCTTATAGCTGGCAATGTGTACTTCTTAATCCCTTCACCTTTTCATCCACCCTCCAAACCCCCCTGCCATCTGGCAACCATCAGTCTGTGCTTTGTGTCTATGAGTTTGCTTTTGTTCGCTTACTTTGTTTTTTAGAGTCCATGTATAAGTGACATCGTATGGAATTTGCCTTTCTGTGTTTGACTTACCTCATCTAGCGTATTACCTTCTAGGTCCATCCAGGTTGTCAAAAATGCCGACATTTAAATTCTTTTTATGGGCAAGTAATTTTCCATTGTACATGTGTACCACATCTTTTTTATCCAATTGTCTATTGATAGACACTTGTGCTGTTTCCATATCTTGGCTATTGTAAATATCAATGCAATGAACAAAGGGATGCATGTATTTTTTTGAATTAGTCTTTTGGATTTCTTCAAATACCCAGAAGTCAAATTGCTGGGTCATAGAGCAGTTCTCTATTTTGAGAAACCTCCACACCATTCTCCACAGTGGCTGCACCAGTTTGCAATCCCACCAGCAGTGCACAAGGGTCCCTTTTCTCCACTTCCTTACAAGTACTTGCTGTTTGTTGATTTATTGATGACATTCTGACAGGTCTAGGGTGATATCTCAATGTGGTTTTAATTTGTGTTTCCCTGATGATTAGTGATACTGAGCATCTTTTCATTTCTGTTGTCCATCTGTTTGCCCTCTTGGGAGAAATGTCTTTTTAATTCCTTTGTCCATTTAAAAATATTTATTTTATTGATTTCAAAGAGGAAGGGAGAGAGAGAAATATCAATGATGGGAATCACTGATCCCCACTGGGGATCAAGCCTACAACTCAGGCATGTGCCCCAACCTGGAATCAAATCGTGAACATCAAAGGTAGATGTTTTCTTTATTAGGGTATTACATGTGTCCTTATTCCCCTATTGCCCCCCCTACCCCCCACTCATGCCCTCACTCCCCTAATGGTAAGAGTTCTTTCTTTTTTACAGCAGTGTAGTATTCCATTGTGTGGATGTACCACAGTTTTCTAATCCACTTATCTGCTGATGGGCACTTAAGCTGTTTCCAAATCTTAGCTATTGAAAATTGTGCTGCTATGAACTTAGGGGTGCATATATTCTTTCTGATTGGTGTTTCTAGTTTCTTGGGATATACTGGTTTTTTGAGTTGTGTGAGTTGATAATTGTTTTATTCTAAAAACTTTTTGGTGGAATCCTCAGGGTTCTCTACAGTATGTCATCTGCAGATACTGACAGTTTTATTTCCTCTTCTCCAATTTGGATGCCCTTTATTTCTTTTTCTTGTCTGATTGCTGTGGCTACGATTTTCAATACCATCTATCCTATATAAAAAAGGGCTAATATGCAAATTGCCCTCTTGGGAGTTCAACTGAGAGTTCGACCCCTTGCTATGATGTGTGCTGACCAACAGGGGGCAGCATGGAACGAAGGAAGGCCCCGATCAGCCCTGATTGCCAGCCAGGCCTACCCTGCGTGAATTTCGTGCACTGGGCCTCTATTATATTTAACCTCAGGGACCATTAAGACCAGGCAACTGGCTGGTAGCTATGACATGCACTGACCACCAGGGGGGCAGATGCTCAATGCAGGAGCTGCCCCCTGGTGGTCAATGCACTCCCACAGCCAACTTCCCCCAGTCGGCCTGCCCCAATAGTCCCCAATCGCCAGCCAGGCTGAGGGACCCCACCTGTGCACCAATTCGTGCACCGAGCCTCTACTGTTAAATAAAAGTGGTGAAAGTGGACAACCTTGTCTTGTTCCTAAGAAAAGGAATTCAGCTTTTCACTGTTGGGTATGTTAGCTATGGGTTTGTCATATGGCCTTCATTATGTTGAGGCATGTTTCCACTATTCCAATTTGTTGAGAGTTTTTATCATTAATCCTCTGTGCTCTGACTGTTCATCTCTCCCTCCCTTTACCTCTGGCAACCGCCCATCTCCATGGTTTTGCCTTTTCCAGAATGGCATACAGCTGGACTCATACAGGAAGTAGATTTTCAGATTGGTTTCTTCCACTGAATATGTATTCAAGGTTTCTCCATGTCTTTTTGTGGCCTGATATCTCAATTATTTGAACACTAAAAAATACCCATTGTCTGGATGTACCACCGTTGATCCATTCACTTACTGAAGGATTTCTTGGCTGCTTCCAATTCTGGGCAATTATGAATAAAGCTGCTGTGAGGTTTCTGAGGGAGTGTAAGCTTTTAACTCCTTTGGGTAATTACCATGAAGCTTGATGGTCAGACCAAAGACTAGGGCTTAGTTTTGTAAGAAACCACCAAACTGTACTGCAAAGTGGTGGCGCCATGCTGCATCCCCCTCAGCAGGAGGGAGGTTCCTGCTCCTCCTTTTTAGCATCTGGGACTCTAGGAAGGCTGCCCTTCTCTTTACTGATGCTGGTCATTTGTGTCCTTTTTCTTTTGACGAGAGGTTTCCACTTTTGATGTTCTTAATCCAGTTTTTGGTTTCATTAGTTTTCTCTATTTTCATTTGTTTCTGTTCTGATACTGAATATTTCTTCTGCTTCTTTGCTCTAACTTGCTCTTTTTCTATTAAGATGAAAGCCTAACTCACTGATTTTTAAACCTTTAACCCTTGTCTAATCTAGGGGCTTAGTGCTGTGAATTTCCAAGGACTGAGTTAGCTGCACCTAGAGTCTTTGATATGCTTTCATTTTCAGTCAGTTGGAAATAGCCTTCTGCTTATATATTTTATATTTTATTGGTTTGAGAGAGAGGGAGAGAGAGAGAGAAACATCGATCAGTTGCCTACTGCACGTCTCTCACTTGGGACTGAGCATGTGCCATGACTGGGAATCAAACGAGTGACTTCTTGGTTCATAGGTCGACACTCAACCACTGAGCCACACCAGCCAGCAAAAGTAGCCTTCTGGTTGCTTCTGTGACCCACAGGCTACTGAGGAGGTGTGACTGGTAGGTTTTCCAGGATCTTTATTATTTTTATCTGGTTTATAATGTTTCGTGAGCTGAATCTGTTATCCCAGAAGATACTGTCTTGGTAGATGTTTGAGGTGTACTTGGAAAGAATTACTGTTTCTGGGTGGATGGAGTGTTCCCTGTTACTTATGTCGAGTTAGTTCACAGTATTTTTCTACTATTGCTTTATCGCTATTGAGAGCTGTGTGGAAATCTCACACCTGCAGACAGCGTTTCTCCTGGAAGCTGGAACGGGTTTGGTGGTTTGTATTTTGAAGTTCTGTTGTTTGGGATTATTTCCTCTTAATGAACTGACCCCTAACAACTTCTTTATCCCTGGCCATATACTCTGCTCCGAAACCTCCTTTGACTAAATAAATACAGCTGCTCCAGATGTCTTGCTATTACTGCTCAACATGCATGTACTTTCCCATCTTTTTATCCAATCTCCGCCTTCTACTAGGGCATTTATTGATTTTACTTGGCTTAAATATGCCAGCTTGCTGCTTTTTGATTACGTTCCCATCTGGAGTTTGAGGTTGAAGGACTGATAAAAAGTTTGGGATGCAGATATATTATTCTCCAACGTGTTTCTAATATGATGCTTAAACTGCTTTGTGATTCAAGATTTTAAAAACTCTTTATAAAAACTCTGTGCATGTAATTCATACACAGGATTCCTAAATTTATATTTAATTAACAAAAATCTTGACCTCTAGATCCAACAACCTATTCAACAACTCTACCTGTATGTTTCACAGGCAACTTGAGTATCCAAACTCACATACCTTCAGTTCCAAACTCCTAGTTCAAGCCTAGAAACTGTTAATTCCCTAGAGTTAGAGCTGCACATGGTTCATCAGCTGAATCCAAGTTTATTTCTTACCATGCATCACAGACATAGGACAGCTCAGACCTGAGTCTCCACTACAAAAAGGTAAATAATTAAAAGGATTCTTTATTTTAAATGTCTATAGTACCATAATTCATGAAAATAATTTATAGTAGTTAACCACCCCTTAAATATCTTATAAACAATGTGTGGATTCAGCCAGTTTGTTTAAAGTTAACTAGTCTGCTTTGAATTCTTCTAAGAAAGGAAATCATGACACGTTCCATTCCATTATTAAAGGGGATTAAAAAGCATAAACTAATTTGAATAGACCTAGCAATTTCCTGGGTATAATCCTTCTGTATAAACCTGACTCATTATATTAAAACTGTATTCTGATTTCCTACCATTAAATAAGAAGTTCCTTAACAGTGGCCTAGAAATGAACTCAACGTCACATACTTCTTCACCGCCTGATGGTCACCTGGTGTTCCGAAATAGACAGTAGAGTATGTCTGCTGTTTCACGTCTGCTGCTCTTCCCAGGACAAGCATTCCATTCCAGTCATCGCATCCGCCTTAACCTTCCAAATGCCACTGCTGTGAGGAGGAGCCATCACAGATTGCCATAGCAACATAGCCTTTGTGACTCAGTGGATCAACCGCTTTCAGGCACTGTCCAACTGACACCTGGTACAGCCGATTATTCTTCTGAAAAATGAAGAAAGAGGTAACTTACAACACTAACTATCCAAATAAGGTAAAGAAGAGACAGTGATCCAGAGGGATGTGGAGTACTTAACACACTGCGGACCAATCACGAGAATTCTCACTTCACATTACACAGTGTTTTACAAAGTATCACACTTTAAACAGATATTAGATTGTAAGAACATGTACTAAATAACTTCAAAATGCAGTGGGTGTTTAATTTTAATGCGTGCCTTCAGCATTGATGTAGAACGTTTTTGTACTCGTTCAATCGAAACCTATGTGGCCACTGGGTAAAGCCAGCAGTAAAACCTGGTCCACAGTGTGTCAGAGTAGGCACAGGACGCTGCAAGCTCAGAACACCCTTCTACAGGTGGACTATGAGCGCCTCCCATCCTCCCTGAGCAAGCGTCTCACCCCGAAGGTCCACTGCTGGGATCCTCCCGATCCATGGCACTTCATGAGTCGGGGTGGGTCAGATGATCGAGTTTCTGACATATCCAGGCAAAGGAGATTACTTAAAACCAATTCATGCTCTTCATTATAAATCCAGATCTAAGGAAGAAAAGAAAAGATCAAAACCCCAAGGCCTACACACAGCAAAGAAAAAAAAAAGCATCCAAATTGGAAAGGAAGAGGTAAAACTACCCGAATTTATACATGACAGGCCATTACATCAGAAAGCCCTAAAACCCCACCAAAAACTACTGTGCTTTTACATACCAATAATGAATGCTCATAAGCAAATAATGCCATTTATAATAGCATCAAAGGAATAAAATACCTAGGAATAAATTTAACCAAAGAGATAAAAGACGTACACTCTGAAAACTGTAAGACATGGATTATGTTTCCTTAAGCTAGGGAAACAGAAGAAAAATAAACAAATGGAACTACACCAAACCAATGAAGTTTATGCACAGCAAAGGAAAACGGCAACAAATCAGGAAGCAACTGACTGAATGGGAGAAGTTACACGCAAACGACACATCAGATAGAGTTAATACCCCCGAAATACAAAGAACTCACACAACTCAACACCAAGAACACAAACAACCCAATCTAAAAATGGACAGAGGACATTCAGACGGACAACAAACAGTGTTGGCAAAGATGTGGAGAAAGGGAGTTGGTACACTGTTGGTAGGAATGTAAACTGACGCAGCCACTATGAAGACTGTGGAAGTTTCTCAAGAAAATTAAAATAAAACTACAATATAACCCAGCAATCCCGCTTTTTGGGTTATTTATCCAAAGAAAACAAAAACTCTAACTTGAAAGGATATCTGCACCCCTTACAGTAGCCAAGATATGGAGGCAACCTACAGGTTCATCAATAGATGAATGGATGAAGAAGATGTGGACCATACATACAATTCAGCAATAAAGAAGAATGAATCTTGCCATCTGCAATGACAGGGATGGACCCAGAGGGTATTATGCTAAGTGACAGAGGTCAGACAGAGAACACAAATAACTCATGGTCTCACTTAAACATGGAATAAACAAAATACAACAGATGCT